CGGGGCCTGGAGCGCGGCGCTGGGCGGGCTGCGCCGGCCTGCTATTCGGGTTAGGGAGGCTGAACAAATATGGAAAACATTCCGAGCCGACTCCCAGCCTCCAAAGGCCACGGGAGCCGGCGGCGCAGGGGGATACGAGGGGGGTCGCCAACTGCCAACGCGCGGGCACGCAGCGCCCACCGGGTGCCCCATCGCGGGGCCCCGGGCCTCCCGAGCCTGAGCGCTTTGCACGGGCGCGAGTGTGTGAGTGCATGTGCGGGTGCGTGTGCGTGTGCGCTCGCGGCGTCTATTAAAGCCCTCTCGCAAAACCCCAGCATGTTGTTGCGTTGTTGTTGTTGTTTTCTGGGAGGTGCAATGCAAGGTGATGAATGTTTAAATCATTTGAGTTTAATTAATAGACCATTTAATCCCAAATAGGCTTTGCCGGGCTCCAAGCTGTGAAGTCACTTCCAGAAGTTAAACTGTTCTAATGTTCCACCAAAGGCAGAGACTCAGGTCTGCAAGCCAAAGGGCAAATAAAGGCATTTTTCCCATTGAGGTGTTTGCTTTTGAAATAATTGTGCATAGAGATGCTGGGCTGATGGTGACCTCTTTCACATATTTGTTTTTTAAAGTTTTTTTAATAGCACCCGCCCCCCAATAGTGTAGCTTTCCAGCCAGTGTTGCTTCCAGTGTTTAGGGGGATTTTCCACCGTTCGAAATGGACATTTTTACCCAGGCAACATTTAGGACTTATTTTTAAAACATCTGTAATATGCTGGGCCGATATTCAAGATAGAGACAGACCTGATTCTCACGCAAAGTCACAAGCAGATCAGTTAAACTGATCATTGTTATTCCTTTGTGCCTCTATTCAGTAGCATTTAGAGCAAATTTCAGTGAAGCCCTTAGGAAATGATCCCGTCGCCCTGAGGTATTTATACCTGCTTTGGTATGGTCATTTTAACACTAAGAACACTGTATTGAAAAATAAATGAGGTTACCTAGGTGCTAGGGTAGATTAAGCCTCTTCCTAGGCTGTTTGCAATCAGTGTACTTAAAGAAAGTCTAATTTCCCGTTGTTTCCTCAGAATTATAAACTAATCACTATCAGCTCTCCTTATAAACTGCCAAGTCCCCACAAAAGTATCTTTGAAGAAAACATATCCTTCACCTTACTTATTTTATAAACTTTAGTTATCTCCCTATACTTTCTGGACCAGTGAGAAAAATATAGCCCACAGGCAAGGTAATCTAGGAAGTAGAATACATCAGGGGTGCCTTGGTTTATGCCTGTAATCCTAGTTAATGGGGAGGCTATGGCAGAGGGCTGGCAAGTTCATGGCCAGCCTGGGAAACTCAGTGAGATCCTGTCTCAAAATAAAACCAACAAACAGAAAACTAAAAAGGGCTGGGAGTGGAGCTCAGTGGTAGAGTGCCCCTAGGTTCCATCTCTAGAACCGAAAAAATCAAAGAAAGTAGGATCCAAACTACATACCTCAGTTCCTCCCAGAGGTGGGAAGCAGCGCTCATACTCACCAGGAGAACAGCAGCTAACGAAGGTCACTGTCACCTTTGGAACCATCACACAACTAGAATTTCTAGTTAAAACAACTAAAGTTGGCGTTAGACCCCGGCACCCACTTGACCTGGACCTTAGAACAGCCCAAATGGCAAAAAAGCACAGTGCTTGGTTATTTCATGTGAATGTAGGAAGCACTATAGGAAGCCAAATGAATACCTATAATTATTTGCTATAATAATATAGTGACCAACTACTGAGTATCTAGTCTGTGACAAGCACATGCTCGGTGTTTTAGTCTATTACCAGAACTTGTTCCAATCACCTTGAAACTACAGTTTCCATTGTTAAAGATGAAATATGTTGATTACCAGAATTATGAAGTAACTGGATTATGAATTTACTCACTTAGTTAGGGATGAGGGTAAGGAAAACAAGGTGTGAACTCCAAAACCAGCAGACTTATGAATTACCTGTTTTATTACTTACTTCCTCTATCTGTACTGCCTATAGGCAAATAAGTGGTGACCCTGTTGAAATTTTATGTTTAAACAATTTATCATGTTTCTATCATAGATGTAACTGTTGCCCTGAACCAAAAGCTGAGTACTTTACAGAAATATATTGATTCACTACTGTTTTATATCTACCTATATCTGTACCTATCTCTATCTCTATCATCTCTATCTCTATCTCTATCTCTATCTCTATCTCTATCTCTATCTCTATCTCTATCTCTATCTCTATCTCTATCTCCATCCGGTAAATGTCCCCCAAAGGTCTGTGTGTTAAATATTTAATCCTCAGCTTATCACTATTGAAAGTCCACTATTATTACCACTATTGAAAGTCAACACAGACCTTTAAGAGATGGGGCCCAGGTCACCTGCAGTGTGCCCTTGGGGGGATTGTGGGATGAAAATCCTTCCTGTTCTTCAAGTATCCTCTGCCAGGTACTCCAACCACGATGTACCATGCTGTCACAGGAGGAAAGCAATGAGACCAACCAGTCAGAGGCTGAAACTTCTAAAACTGTGAGCCAAAATAAATCTTTCCTCTTTTTAAACTGATTTATCTCAAGTGTTTGTTATAGTCAAAGAAAGCTGACTAACCCATCCATGAAGACCATTAATCCCATTATGTTATTGTTAACCTATGACTAGAAACAAGTTTCTATCTGTTGACTATGCTGCGGGGCTGTCACTTATTTAGCAATAAAATATTCCTGGCTTTTCCCACAAAGTCTTAATTTAGGCCTAAGCTAAAGTAGTCAAATAAGATAATAGGATATTTTTGTTGTTGTTGGTAAGCTTAATGGTGTCAACTTGATTGGCTTGAGAGCTGCCCAGGGAGAAGAAAAGCATGCTTGTGGGATTTTGGGGTGGATCAAGGAGGTGGGACTTTGGGTACTATATATAGTCCCTGACTGGTCCTCACAGGCACTCTTCCCATGCACTGCTTCCCTGATGCCAAGATCTAAGGGTTTTGCTCTGCTACACCCTTTCCCAGGATGTTTTTGCCTGGGAGCCAGCTGATCAGGGAATAAATCCTCTGAGACCATGAGCCAAAGAAACTCCACCTCCTTGAAGTCTCGGGTATCAGGTAACTTGTCCTAGCAATGGGAAGGCTGATTAATACACTCATGGATTAGATTTGTCTTTGAAGTCTCAGAACTTGTGTGGTTACAGTTGTACACATAATACGCCTGTTATCCATGGTGATAGCTTCCAGGACCCTATGTGGATACCCAAACTTGCAAGTAGTAACACATCCTCTATAGACTATGTTTTTTTCATATGCATTACTATGATAAAGTTTAACTTATAAATTAAGCATAGTGAGAGGTTAACAATGATTAATAATAAAATAGAGCAATTATAATGATATACTGTAGTAAAAGTTACTTAAAACTTATGAATTGTTTATTTCTGGAATTTTCCATTTAATGTCAGAAAGCAAAACTACTGACTGGGGGACCACTGTATATTTTACTAAGAAAGGTTTACTTTTGATTGTCCAGTTGAGATTAGTTACAAATGCAGCCAGTAGCAGTGAACAACATGCCAGATAAATTGTGATCCTGCTAGTCTAATTACAACTGTCTAGTTCAATTTTCAGATTCCAGGGAAGCAGGCAATAGTGTAGGGAACCTCACACCTGCTTAGATTTCTAACAGCATTGGTGCATCTGTGTGTGACAGGGCCTGGTCTTTGACAGTATCAAGAGAGCATCGCAATAAGGATGATATTTTCATTTAAATGACACAGGGAAGTTGAAACGAAGGGAGTGAGAAAAGTTTTCAAATAGTGAATGAAATCAAGACTGAAGTGAGATTATATGGTCATCAAAAACACGGCAAGAAAATTCTTCCTTTCACATGTTTTTTTCCACTGACAAAAATATCACCATTTTAGCGAAATGAACAAATTTAGCGGAAAGGAGCAAGGACTTTTTTAGTATTCATAAATTATGATGGCACTGTTTTATAGGTTAAGCAGTAACTTCAGATATTTATATTGTCAGTAAGAAAAACAAAATAGAAGGAAAGTGTTTTCAGATACTCCTGGAAGCTCTCGTAACTCAAAGCTGACAGAGATTGTAAATTAGAAATTGGAGGAGAGTGGTTAATACATGTTTTGAGATTATTTTGATCCTCTGGGAAAAAACCAAAATTAAGCTTAGTATCTCTACCTTTATAGTCTATCTCAAACTTAGCATTATTTTGAAGTATTTATGTTTCAGAGGTTCAGAACAGGGAAAGTGATAACTCTTTCAAAGTAATATCATTAACAAAATGTTTTTAGGAAATTCAACTAGAAATAATCTCTAAACCAATATACTTTTGAAAACATAGTCTTAGATTGGCCAAGAACAAAAAAAGATTTGATAGAGAAATTATTACAATGCCAAGGTTTATATCAAGTCTCTTTAATATGTAATTACATATATGAAAAACATTCCATTAGATTTGATATAAAGGAGTATCAAATACTCAGTAGAAAATAACTAAGAACTTGGTTTCCTATAAAGCACTGTTTTCCTCAAATGTCTAAGAAGCCTCTAGACCTAAAACAACCTCAGGGATATTGCTGATCTCTGTGTGTGTATGTCTATGTGTGTGTATAGAAAAGAAACTATACCTTTTCCATTTTAGTTCTATGTCATTAATTTCAAATGCATCTTATGGCCTGATTTTTTTTCTCAAAAGAATTGACCCATCTGTAATTTTTGCATGGCAATTTGTATTTTTGAGTTAAATATCATATAAATAATGCTCTAGTGATCAACAGAGGCCTTGTGACTTTCTCATCCTATAGGAATTCTATAATAGAGATTGTAACTATCAAATTTTCATTATGCATTTTATCTGCTTACAGGATTTACCTTGTATTTTTGTGCAAGTTTTCAACATGTAACTTTGATATTCCCATTACATTTCATGAAGTAGAAATAACTAAATCTATTTTAATTAAGAAATACCAGAAGAATAGATAAACAAATTACAATGTATCTTATAGTCCAATACTATTTCCCAGTATAAAAGGAATGAACTATTAGCACAAGCAATGACTTGGATGAATCTCACTGTGTGCTGAATGAAAGAAACTATAAGTAAAATTATACATACTGCATAAATTTCATTGACATACAAATTTTTTTGGGGGTGGACAGGTCTCACTGTATAGTTCACTATATAGTTCAGGTTGGCTTTGAACTCACTGTGTAGCCCAGACTGGCTTCCAACTCGC